GTCAGAGAGCAGAGGAAACACAGCTTTAAGGAGAAGAGCAGCAGGAAGCTCAGCTCAGAGTTGTTTGCTCTCACAAGAGGAGTGTTCCTGTGTGTGACAAAAATGACTGCGACAGCGACAGTCATGCATGTTCCAAACAAAGAAGCCGCAGTGAGCAGTGATCCCATAATTTCGTTATACGAAAGAAACTCTGCCTCCTTTTTGATACAAGCATCTCTATTTTCATTTGACCAGGATTCAAGGGGGCACCGCACACAGGTGACTGAATCTGTGAAATCAATCGAGCAACAGACATGGAGAGTTAAAAGACTTAAACTTAAGGGCTTGTTTTTGTTGCATTTATGTCATTTGTAGGCTTATTGAGAATTAACGCAGAATTCGAAAAGCTAAAAACAGCTTTTTGCTAACTGAAAATTTTGATTTCAATTAGCATTTTTTTCTGTCACAAGTTTTGCCTTTAGCTCTAACTTGCCTGTGCTGTTGCTTATTTCTCCTTCTGCACAGTGTAAACAGTCATAACAACAAACAGGTTTTCCTTTCTGCAGGACTTTTCGTTTTCCCGGTGGACACTTCTCACTGCAAACTGAGACAGGCATCTGCACAAGAAACGCCACACGTTAAGAAAAATAATAATAAAATACAATATGTTGCCATTTTTGATAAAAGCTTACCATCAGTGAATTTTGAGCCCAAACTATTGACTCAATGTGCACATCCATCTGTCTGTCCTCTGGCAACGACGCATCATACAGACCCACTACTGCAAATTCCACAGGGCCATCGTCTCTTCTCTGCCAGTTGATGATTTCATATTTTGCGGCTGGATCTCCGTTTTCATTAAAGTACACTTCATCCCCTTCCTTTGTTTTGAAATGAATCTCTTTTATTTGCTGTAAAATCTAAAGAAATGTGTAAAATCAATACAAGGTAGTCACTTTTTTGCTGTATTGACGACTTTGTTTTAACAGTTTACTCATTTCCTGGTAGCCTTTCATCGTAACTTTGATCACAGTAAACACCGAGCTCACCGTGAGCGGATCTAGCTGTGCGTTGCCGTCACATGTTTGGTTGCAGCTGAGGATATTGTGCAGAGCGCGGGCAACAGCATACACTCCTTTATACATGTTGTTAAATATGGGCATGAGCGACATGTCGGTGAAGGTGTTTTCCACTCCTGTCAGATCCTCCTGTCCTGTGCATCGTGTCTTAATCTCCACTGAGTACGACAGCTTAAACTCGCAGCTGAATAACGTCTCCCAAAACTCTGTGAACAAGTCGTTGTTTGATGAAAACAGTGGCTCCACGTTCAGTATGAACTCTTGGAGGCCGCTGACGTGCGCTTTGGGGATGGAGAGGCCAACGGCTCCGTCTAGGATGTGGTTCCTGTCTCCTGCTGCGGTCTGGAAATCAAATATCCAGGCCTCGGTTCCCACCCACTGGTAGCCGGTTAGGTTGTGGCTGGAGAACTCGTGTATAATCACATCCATGTCGGCTTGGGAGAGGAAAGCGACAATCACCTTTGAAGTCGAAGCCTTGATGGTGTTAATTATCTTTTGGATTTTGTCGGCTGGATCTGTCCTGAAGAAAGACACGGAATATTCAAGGCAGATGCCCAGATGCTGAGCAGTCTCCGTGAACGTTGCCATGCCGCTGTTGCCATAATCATCATTCGTTCTGACGGCTCCGACCCACGTCCATCCAAAGTGCTTCACCAACTGGGCCAGAGCTCTGCTCTGATAGTAGTCGCTGGGTATTGTTCGGAGAAACGAGGGATATTTGGATTTGTCACTGAGACAGGCACATGTGGCAAAGTGGCTGATCTATAACAAAAAAAAATACATAAACAAATCATATTATGCTGATTAAAACACATTTTTACAGTAGAAACATACAAAAACGATACATTAAAATTAACTCATTTACAAAAGTGCAGCGGTTGCCAGTTTTACCCACCATTGGTATAAAAAATGGTCCAATGACAGTGGCTATCGCTGTGCTCGGAGAGGAAGAGGCTTCTCCCATTATGGCCTGCACTTGTGCAGGTCTTCCACATTCCTTGGAAGGAGCAGACACATTTTCATAATCGTTAAGCAAGGCCAACGCAACCTTAACACTTCTGGCGTTGAAGCCACACGTGTCATAGATTTTGTAGCCCAGAGAGACGCCTGGCAGCAGGTCTGAGCTGTTGTTTATCTCCTCGATGGCAAAAAGCATAGCCTGGGCTAACTGGAACTCTCTGAAATTCAAACTTCATTCAAGACAGTGATTAATAATTTGCAAAGTGTTCAGTTTCTTCTGGGAAATCAGCAATGACAGAAAATTGAGAAACGGGTAATGGTAAACAAAACCATGATGTCTTTTAGTTTCTAAGCACCTGATGTGTTTATTTAAACATTTTTTTTATGAAAATACCCATTGGATAGAATTACCTGGTACATTGCAGTGGAAGAGGCTTTTCAGTGTAAGTCTCCTCTCTTTCTTTCCAGTTGTTGTGGAAGGAAAAAAGCCCCCCCAACATAACGTCTCCATCCTTCACTAGCTGAGGGCTTTCTAAATCCCCGTTCTGACTGCATACAAGCTCTGCAGCCTGAGAAAAACATGCTGCCAACAAGAGCTGTAATATTAACCAACCCTGCCGTAAGCTTCTCTTAGCAGACATCATGCTGAGCAGTAGCTACACTGACAGGTGGCGTCACATGTGCAGAAACATGGGCAGCGCTTGTATTTATGCTTTTGTGAGCAGCGTACTCTGCGTCGGAAAAGTGACTTTTCATCTCTGTGGACCTGTAAGGTTGGGGGCCGAATGAAGGAGTCTGCAAGCAATGAAATTAAATAAAAGTAGAAGGTAAAACCATTAAGGCTGAGAAATAATTTCAAAAACCTTAATAAAGTGTTACGTTAGCAAACAGAAGCATGAACCCAGCCTTAGGCTAAACTCCTGACAGCAAAATATCAGCACAGAATCAGGAAAACTCAACAAAACAAACAAAAAGTAATAAATAAATAAATAAATACACCCCTAGGATTTTGAAATAGAGCAAAAAATAATCCTGATGCTGACCTACAGATAAATAATGTTCTTAAACTGTTTAAGGTTGAATTTTTGGCTCAAACTTGGTTTTTATTTGCCTCTGGATGACAAAGAAAATGTATTTGTGGGTTTTATTCTAGAACAAAGAAAAAAAATGTGTTTCTTATCTTCCAGCTCAAGAGCAGTAATCTGTTCAGTGTTTGCCATCAACAGGTGGTTAAATCAGGCCTTGCTACACATTTTAACTATGAAGACTGAGCGAAATAAATATTGGTCATATTTTTCTTATAGATACAATTTTAATGAGGCTATGGTTCAAACCAGATATTGGTAGCAACTCAACTAATCCACACATACAAAACAAATAAGTTTGAAAAAATTGGCTGTGTCTAATAAATTGGAATGATTCCCGGTATGAGCAGTAAACAAACTTTGACGGCAGCTATAATATAATGCAAACATTGACCGACTGAGTTGATCCGGTTCTTCAATCTGATTGTTTTGAAGTATTTGGGAGCTGATCTATGCACGATGATCTTCAGTTCTTTCCTTGGCTTTTCAGTGACAATTTCATTTTCTTTTTCTGAAATTATTAGGCTGTGTGTTTGGGACAAAACACTTGTTTTCCACCTCAGATTCATGTGATGAATGTCTAAAGTTCACTTTTCCATTAATCCTTCTTCCAGTTATCAACTTCAACCTTTCACTGTTGCCATGGTGATTTGTGAAAAAAAATATGTATTGTGCATCTGTGCATTTCTTTCCAAATACCTTTAGATTTAATCTACTTTCTCCTCTAAAACGCATCCCTGTTTTTTTTTTAAAAAAAGGTTATGAAATATGGTGCTTACATATTAAAAGATTAAAAAAAGTCTCCTTGACGCATTAACAAAATTCAACAATGCTGTGAAAATGTTAAAAAGCCAAAATAACTGACAAAGATTATTGTTTTTAAAAGCTGTGAAACTTTTAATGAACTACAAAATGTTTTGAAACATGTAGTTAAGCTATCCTCTAATTTATGAGCAATAAAAACACACAAGGATACATTGGGGTCACTATGGCAACATGAATATAAATAATAATGAATAGATATTTCTCCAGAGTCAAAACAAAACTTAGTTTTGAATCATTGAATCAATAAATAATCAGGGCCTGTGTTCTCAAAGAGTCCTCTCTGAGGCTGATTAAAAATCCTGCTCATATTTTGTCATCTGCTCAAACTTTACCTTAAGTTTGTGAAAAACTTAACAAGGTAAAGTTCTAAGAAAATTTTCAGAATTCCCAAAAGAATTTTCCTAACAAGGAAATCGCTAAAAGCGACATTTACTCTTAAACTTCTCTGAGAATATGGGTCCAGGTTTCTAGTGATGGGTGATAAAAAATATGATTTGCTTTCTTAGACATGTATAATACAAGACAAAGAAAAAGTTTTAGAAAATATACAGACACATTTCATAATAAAGACACTTCATCATACACCATGTTCCTGACTTATTTTGATGGTCCCGGTCCCATCATACTCTTTTTAGTATTTTTTTCTGGTTTTATCAACATGAGATAACATTTGGGGATGAAAATACAAATTAGTAATCCAAATGTAGAGGCCAGGATAGCAAAGATTTCTACAGCGACACTGAACTTCCCAGGAGAGCTGACGCTGGGATGAAAGTGATCCAGACCGCGCAGAATATCAACATGCTGAAGGTGATGAATTTGGCTTCGTTAAAATTATCAGGCAGTTTACGAGCAAGAAAAGCACAAATAAAACATAATGTGGCGAGAAGTCCAATGTACCCAAGCACAGCCCAGAAACCCACAGCTGAACCCAACGAACACTCCAGGATGATTTTGTCTTTAAATTCCTTAAAGTTCTTGGATGGAAAAGGAGGAGAACTTGTCAACCAGACGATACAGATGATAACTTGCATAAGTGTGAAGCCCAGAACTCCAAGTCTCTGCTGTGTGGCTCCGAACCATTTCATCATATTTCTACCGGGGCGTGTCGCATTGAACGCCATTAAGACCACCATGGTTTTCCCCAGGATACAAGAGATGCAGAGGACGAAGGTGATACCGAAGGCCGTGTGCCGCAGCATGCAGGACCAGTCAGACGGCTCTCCCATGAAGATCAGAGAGCAGAGAAAACACAGGGTCAGGGAGAAGAGCAGCAGGAAGCTCAGCTCAGAGTTGTTTGCCCTCACAAGAGGAGTTTTCCTGTATTTGACAAAAATAAGAGCAACAACTACAGTCATACACGATCCAAATAAGGATGCTGCAGTGAGCAATGCTCCCATAATTTCTCTATGTGACAAAAACTCTGCCTCCTTCTGAACACAGGCATCTCTTTTTTCATTTGACCAGAAGTCAAGAGGGCATCTGATGCAAGAGACAGAATCTGAAAGGCAAAAAGAAATATTAGACATGTTAGTATCTTAATTTATTTTCAACCATTTTTCTTCAAATGTTTCACACAGATTATGCAGAAATGTTTTACCTTCTAAGTGATTATGACAGTGAATTACATTGTTAAAGGGACTGAGGGATGGTGTTATGTATTTTCCAGGCACCAATAAGTAGAGGACTTGCGTTGAGTTGTTATAAAAATGCTGAATATGTCAAACATAAATAAAAAAAAAAATTACTTTGCAATTTGGCACCTTGAAGTCGCCTCTGTCTCTTTAAGAAGCTCCTACTCTTTCTGACTGTCCTTCATCATCACCTCATCATGTACAGATCTGGAAAACGTTAGAGCCCACTGCACTGAACCCGATTCAAAACCTCCTGGTTATTCCACCAGATACTGATTTCTGAGTTAAAACATTAGTATTGTTGTTTCTAAATGAAGATTAATTTGTTGTCTTTCCATTATCAGAGGTCAGAAAGCACTGCGTCTTAATCATTGTTTTGACCGTTTCACATTTCATAGAATGAAAATTTTAATTTTCCTCAAACATATAAATATAAAAAGTAAAATCGGAAAAACTGATCATTTTAAGTGCTCTCTTAATATTTTCCAGAGCTGCATAACACTTCATTTTATATTTCCCCAACAAAATATCTCAGTATTTTTGTTCTATTTAGAATATTATCTGTTACTTCTTCATGTATTAAATATTATCTAACCTGTGCTGTTGCTTATTTCTCCCTCTGCACAACTTATACAGTCGTAGCAGCAAACAGGTTTTCCTTTCTGGAGAACCTTGTGTGTTCCTGGGGGACACGTCTCACTGCAAGCGGAAACAGGGACCTGCATGGAAACAAACAATAGGAATGAAGTAAAAAAATAAAAAGTACATTTCTGGGTCTTTTCCCCAAGAATGGGGTGAAATTATTTGCCATAGTATCTGCAGTAGGATTACCTGCTTTGAATGTCCAGCAAAAACTACAGACTTCTCCTGCACATTCATCTGCTCGTCTGCTGGTAAAGACGCGTCGTAAAGACCGACGCTCACAAAGCTCACAGGGCCGTTTTCTCTTGGCTGCCAGTTTATAATCTCATATTTTGCTGCCGGGTCTCCGTTCTCATCGAAGTAAACCTCTTCTCCTTCCTTTGTTTTGAAGTGAATTCCTTTTATGTGCTGTAAAATCTAAAGAATGAAGAGCTAACATATAGCAAACCATGTACTTACATTAACTCAAATAAAATCATTTGTGAGATCTCATGTTTTACGTTAAAAAGATTATCTTTAACAACAGTTATTTTATGTTAGGTGTGTTAATGTTGATATCAGGCTCACCGTTAATGGGTCTAGTGGCAGCTTGTTGTTGCATGTTTTATTACAACCTAGAATATTGTGCAGAGCGTGAGCCACTGCATACACTCCTTTATACATATTGTTAAGAATAGGCATCATTGACAGGTCAGTGAAGATGTTTTCCACTCCAGTCAGATTCTCATGGCCAGTGCAGAGCCTCTGGGTTTCTCCTGCTTCTGACTGTT